TATAGCTGAAATTACTGTTCGTGTTAGTATTTCTGGTCCATACATTTATCCTGATTCAGATACATGGAAGCCAGCCAGTGCCGTGTATTGGATATCCAGTAGTAGAGATTTTGTTAATCCTGTCCTGTTAGGGATACAGCATAGTGTTGGAGGAAATGTAAAATCCTCAGAGATTAAAGTCTTTATGGCAGATGATACCCCTACTCAGAATATGACCTTCATGTTTCAGGATTATTCCAATTTCACTCTCAATGGTCCTTATGTATATATTTCATTGAATCACTTCAGTGGTGTGTCTGCTGCCTCAACTGCTGATATTAGCTTTTATGGAGTTCTGTATTATAAGAAATACCCAAAGGGGAAATATCTTTGGAACTACAGCTACTTAGTGTACAAGAGCTTTCCAGATGCTATTGTTGATGAAGTAAGTGTGCGGACTCATCCTTTTATGTGTGAATGCTCTTTGTCTATAGTTGCTTGCTGATTATGCAGATTGGACACAAGAAACATTAAAAACAGATGTTGTGTTTGACGAAAACAGTACAGCAATAATACTAAGTCTACCATCACTGCAAGATTGGGATATTATAGAAAAAATATCACCACTTGTTGTAAGTTAAAATAAAAACATATAATAATAATAATTATCATGTTATTTAATATATCTGCTTTCAGTATCACAAAAACCACCTCTTAAAGCAAAATAGTATTCGAAGCAACATGCAGTTTATGCTATGTTGGAAAGGTCCTGGATATCCAGTCATGAAATTAGTAGCACTGCAGCTAATAGGTGCTTCACAACCAGTCAGAGTTACATTTTACACCAACTCAAGTAAGTTTCATTATAATACTCATTGCAACATGATGCTAATTTACTCTGTAGTTGAGGATAATGACAAAAATGATGAGCATGTAGCTGCACGTGTAGGTAAGTGTTTTTATAAACTAAATAAATATAAATCTTATGGTTCCTATAGAGAAAAATTTGGACCCAACAAATTTGGAACAAGTCTTATCATCATTAAATAAAAATAATTATGATGCCAGTACTTGGCACAGGCTCTGCCTTAGGTTGGGTTTGCTTGAAAACACTTTGAATGCTTATGAAGATAACGAGAACAATGTTAATGATCGCCTGAGAACATGTTTGCACGCATGGCTACAGAGAGCTGATAAAGTAGATGATAAAGGAGGAGCAACATGGACTTCATTGGAAAAGGCTCTCAAAGACATTGACCAAAAGGCAGTAGCTGAAAGTAAGTGATGCATCACTACCATATACTGTATTCATACTTTTACTTATAGATATGAGAAAGAGCAGAGCACACTCAGAACTTTAAAAACATCACATGACATGCTGCAGTATGAACATATCTTAAATTTTACTAGTATTAAAAACATTCTTTATATGTAATAATAATATAAAATGCTGCTGTATTAAGCCAAATTTTTAACAGACATATTTATTTCAAAATTTTTTTCAAAAACATGATAATACTAAAAGTGCAATAAAATCAAGAAAAAGTACAAACAGTAACACATGATGACAGTGTGTATGTGTTCTGGTATCATTAATACTAAGTGGGATTCTTTTGAGAGTGGAAATAACATCATCTGTATCTTGATATTAAGTGATCTTGAACAATCCTTGTTATTATAGCAACTGATACTACCACATAATAAACCACCTAATAATATTACAAAATAAAGATAATAATATAACGTATAATTAGGAGTAATGTATGTACATGTACATACAAACAGACAATATTTGATATACTGACTTGTCCTTCACCCAATTAATAAGTATAGACAGTAATAAGTACATTAGTCTTAAACCAGACCCACCTGTTTGATCTTGTATGGGTTCATTGAGGAAGAATATCTTCTGATGCCAGTGAGTGGGTGTATCTTGAGGACTAGTACAGTAGTACTGAAGTACACAGGATAAGA